CTGGGGGCAGGGGCAGCGCACACTGCCCCGCTGGCTGTCCCTCTACCTAGGAGCCAGAGGGAGATGCAGGCAGCTTCCTGGGAGCCACGTGGAGGTGGGTAGGGAGCCTGCCTGCGCCGCCAACCGACTTTTAACGGCCTGACCGGAGCTGCCAGGGTGCCTTAACCCTGCCGCCTTTCCATGAGCCGTTTCCTCACCTTCTGGCCCTCACCTCCCTTCTCCCCAGAGTAACCGTGGGCTCCTTGTTTCTATAGCTCCCGACTCACCTCCCTTCCCCCAGGAGTGACTGCAGCCCCCTCTGCTTCCACTCTCCTAGAAGATAGATTAGGGCTGGAAGAGCTCTCAGGAGGTCATCTAGTCCCACCCCCTGCTCAAAGCAGGACCAACACCAACTAAATCATCCCAGCCAGGGCTTTGTCAAGCCTGACCTTAAAAAAGGATGGAGATTCCACCAGCTCCCTAGGTAACCTATTCCAGTGCTTCACCCCCTCCCCCCCCGTGAAATAGTGTTTCCTAATATCCAGCCTAGATCTCCCCCACTGCAACTTGAGACCATTGCTCCTTGTTCTGTCATCTGCCACCACTGAGAACAGCCGAGCTCCATCCTCTTTGGAACCCCCCTTCAGGTAATTGAAGGCTGCTATCAAATCCCCCCTCACTCTTCTCTTCTGCAGACTAAACAAGCCCAGTTCCCTCAGCCTCTCCTCATAAGTCATGTGCCCCAGCCCCCTGACCCTGTCTTTCTACAAGCCCTGCCTGCTCCCCACAGGTGAGCTCGCCAATCAGAACTTTCCTCCAGGCCTGATTTGCCCAGATTGCAGACAACTGGCCCAATCCAGCTCTTGCAGGGCCAGCGTGGGGAGCTCACCCCGCCACAGGCTAGTGCAGGTTCCCACGCTGGCACGTTTCACTAGCTCTGCACTGAGAGGAGCAGGGGGCTCAACAGAAGCAATGTACACTGCTCTCTTTGGTGGGCAGCCCTGGTGTGTGGAGTGTGTGATAACTGGTTATATAGTGCAGGGGAACGTGTCTTCTTCATCCCTAACTCACAACTGGTGTGGAGAGAGACTTTGCTCCCTGGGCTGGTGACTCCATCTTCCACCTAACACCAGCTTCTGGCCTCAGAGAGACTTCTGCTTTTCTGCTCAAGCCCTCTGTCGCTGCAGAGGATCGGGCAAAGGCAGAGTCCATTACATGTCGGCCCAGTGATCCAGTTCATGGTCTTCTCCTCTCAAAGGCTGCCCCACAACCCATTTCAGCCGAGCACCAGCATTCAGGTTCTGCTCTTTGTGGCAATACCCAGACTTCATTCCAAGTGGAGGTCCAAACCCGTTTCGGGCTCTTTTTCCAGTTGTGTGGGAATGACACAGTGACACACGCATGAACTGACTAGTGAACTGCTTTCACGGCTGATTCTCACAAATGAACCTGGCCTGGATTTTTTTGTCCTCATAGAAGAGACTCCAGGGAGCCAGATGTCATACTGATCAGTGACAGCCAGACAACACAATGGGCCAAACCCAGCCCTGCAGCAACTGCAGAGCTCCATGGCAGACCAAACCCGAGCTCCAAGTGCCATCTTTGTGCCTTAGTTGACAGACAGGGGTCAGATTCAGCCCTGGTGTAGGGCAGCCTTGGGCCCATAGCCTGAATCCAACCAAGGCGCAGCGCCCCACAGCTGGCATTAGCAGTGTCTTGTGCGGTCTGAATGTATCAGAACCACGCTGTCCCCAGAAAGCAATCTGCCCTGTCCCCCACGGTCCCATCTGCCATTGCAGCTCTTCCATGCCCCACAGAGAAGTGTCTGTGCTCCGAGAGCCTGCACAAGGGTCCCGCCGTGTTCAGGAGCAAAGCTAACGAACTATGGGGAAAAACACACAATTGGCCCCAGCTGCCAGCACAGCCTGGCCATGCCGCCTGACAGCCCTGCCCGACCGAGTCTAGCGCTCTGGAAGGAGAAGCTGCCCCACACAGTCACGGTCCACCCTGCTTCCCTTCGGCTGGGCCAGGGAGACAGCCCCACCGCATGAACTGCACTGTAGCCCTGGTGACCCAGTCCAGCCACGGGCCCCAGCCCTGCTCCCCCATCATGCTTGAGAGACCAGGCCCTGGCCCCAAGGAGGCAAGACAGCTTGGGTTCACAGACTGGTTACCAATGAGGGTTTTTAACTGGTCTGACAATCCCAGTCCTCGGCACACCGTGTCCTGGGTCTTAGCCCTGTCCGGTTCTCCTCAGCTCACCCCTGGGCAATTGTAGGTTAAGCCCCAATTGTATTATCTCTCTTCAATCTGGGTTTGCTGGCTACACTGACGGTAGCCGCTGTCACGGGGCCAGGCACCATCAGACGCAGATCAAATCCAATCAGATCTGGAGCAGCCAGTGCTGTAGTCACCTAGTTTCCCCACGTGGGGGGGGGGGGGGGGAAGTATAGATCTCATTTGCATATGCAAATGACCACCCATAATGCATTCTGCCAGGGCCACCTCCGGCACACACAGATAGGTGTGTCAGGAAGTGCATGTCACTCCTAAGGGTCCCCTCCCCACAGCTGCTCCCTCGAGGTTTCCATTGACTACCCCTCAATGGTATCACTGGGCAGAGGCACGGTGAGCAGGAGGCCAGTGGGGAGTGAGGATGCGTAGGAGGTGAACACACAGGGATGTCACAGGAGATTAGTGATGTCCTCGTGCCGCTGGCCTCTCCCCTCCTTGCCCAAAATCAGTCATGCACCCAGGCTATCCGGGAGAGAAACCCTGGGATAACTCAGAACAACATGCGCTCCGTGAAGAAAACAACAGTCTCTGTGTTTTGGGTTGTCCCCATCTCTGTGACCCCACCCAAACCTCGGGGTCCAGCTAGGAGCTGCTGGAGCCAGCAGCCTTGGCCTGAGCCCTCCCCCCAATCCTCAGTGGCATCTGACCTCCTTTCTAAATCCCAGCCTTGCTTTGCTGGCTTTTCTATTTCCTGTGCCCCAATCTCCAGTAATCACACAGACATCTGTCCACGGCTTCCCTTCATGCCCCTTGGCCGGGGATCCGGCACCTTGGCTGCAGTCGGGGAGGGGGAAGAAGGCGCTGAGGCGAGGCCCGGGGGGACAAGACACACAAACACATCTGCACTGGCCATCTGCAGCGTAGTGCAGCCCAACTCTCGTTAGCACTGCAGAGAGGCCAGGCCTGTACAGGGCCTCTAAAGGGGAAGGAGCATTCAAGAGTGGGGCCAGTGGGGGTCAAGGCAAGCTGAGCCCAGCTTCCAGCCGGGCTCCTGGGAGCGGGTCAGTAACTCACAGGGGGCTGGCTAACCCCCTGCCCAGTGGGATCCTGTCACTGGCTTCCACTCTTCGCTTCTTAATGTTGAAGTGGGTGCTCCGGTGAGAGAGAGGAGAATGGGGATGCTGCACATCTGATCAGCAGAAGGGCACTGCCCTTCCAGCCCCCGCTGCCCTTATCACCAGACAATACCGCTGCCATCGCTCTGCCCAGCCCCAGCCTCTCTGGCTGAGGATCCCAAAGCACCTTGCAAACATGGACAAATTCACGTTGCAGGCGGGCACCATTGTCCCCGTTTTACAGCTGGGGAAACTGAAGCGCAGAGACGCTCAGTCCTGAAGCCATGCAGCACATCAGTCAGGAAGAGAACACAGGAGTCCTGGCTCTCCTGCTCTAAGCATACAGCGCTGGCTTTCTCAAACACAGGCGGGGAATCCTTTGCATGTCCTAATGCAGCTGCTCCTCCCACCTCTCCCTTCAACAGCCAGTAGGCATGAAATGATGGAGCAGGTGTTTGAAGTTCACACTCGCCCTCGGTGATGCGCTCTAGGATGTGTGACTAGAGCTACACAGAGAAAGAAACTCACGTAAAGCCCGGCGCGATACAACACACGCCAGGCACAGTTTGTTCACCCACCCTGTTCACTGCATGATATTTGTTCTGTGACATTAGTTCTAAGTGGTCATTCAAGCAACCAACAAAAACCCATTGCCCAATAGCTGGGCTTTACCCAAACTGAGGAATTCAAGCCCTGTCCACACTAGGAAATTGACTCACTGCTGAAGGCAGATGTCAGCAACGGGTCCCCCTGAACCAGTGCTGGAAACACTGAAATGGCTCATTTGGACGGAACAAAACCCTCCCAGCACCATCCCAGAATGTGTGACTGAGACTTGGTCTATGCAGCCAAGGGCCTGAGCTTCAGAGGCCCTGAGCATCCGCAGCTCCCGTGGGCTTCAGCTGTAGATGTGGGTGTTCAGCACATCTGAAAATCAGGCCCTACATTCCTGTGGGGAAAATGTCCTAAGTTCTCTCTCCAGCTCTCTGCAAGGAACGCCGCTGCATAGAGCCTGCGGGGTCCGTAGCATCCCACAGGAACGTCCAGGGACAAGCCACCAGCTTTCTGAGCACGAGGTGCGACCAGAGAGAATGCAGGCTGGCTTCACAGGAAGCCCCAGGCACGTCAGACTTTGGGAGCACAGGCAGTGCTGTGTGCATGCCCACGCAGTGCAGCCAACATCGACGAGCTCACAATGGTTAGGTGCCGCACGGACGAGGTTCAGTGCCTTGGGAGGAGGAGCCCCGCGGAACCTCAGACACAACACCTACCTCTGACTGCCTTGGTCTTTCTCCTTCCTCTCCCATCCTCCCAACCCCATGTCCCCACTCTCCCCTCATCTGTCCATCCACTGCCTCTCTTCACTTCGCCCATCCTTCCCATCTGATCGCCTCTCTCTTCTTCCCTCCCGACTGAGGGACAAAGTCGCTCTGTCTGGGCTCCCTTTCACTTCCCCAGTAGCCTCACAGCTCAGTTCCCTGAGGTCCACGCTGCACACTGGGTGACGGACCAGCTTCATGACCAGTCTTCCATGGACAATATTCCTCCTCACCACCCCACCACACACACACCCCGAAAAACCCTGTGAAAGCAAATCTCTGGGCATGGGCATGTCAGTCCTGTTGGCTTTGAGTGTGCTGTCTGCAGGGGGGTTCTGAGACGTAGTCCTACCTCGTGTGTTGGTGGCCATGTCTGCCACTTTCTGGAAGGCATCCAGGAAGGCGACTGCTGCCAGCACCGTAGTCCTGAGGCAGAAAGAGATGGATACGTAAGTCAGCTGGGAGTCCGAAGGACTAATGCAGTGCACCTTCTACTGATCCCTACACACAGGAATGCCCACACACTCAAATCACAAATGGGCCACCCCACCGTATCCTGTCTCCAGCAGTGGCTATTATCTGACGCTTCAAAAGAACCATAAATAACATCCCTTAACAAGTTGTCCAGTATTGTACATAGAGGAAATGCCTTCCTGACCCCTGCTGTGATTGTCCTTTGCTCTGAAGCATGAGATTAGCTCATCCCTACCCTAGCCAGCACAGTAGCTACCTTTACTAACAGCCATGCCATTATGCAGCCCCAATCTTTGGCTCAATGTTCTGATGCATCAGTGAGTTCCACAGGTTGCTTGTCAAGAGAATGGGTGTGACCCTAGGCACCCCTGTATTCATATCCTACCCACAACTGCAGTAATATCTGAACAAAATAGGCCTTGTGAGAGATCATATGAAAGCTAACAACATAGTGGTTATTAATATAACTGTAAAATGCATGTGTTAACGTTATATGTGAAGTTATGGATTCCCTCTGTATGATATGCTTAGAACATGTTTAAGATCAGCCAGACTAGCCTCGGTAAAGGTGATAAACGGGTCAGTCCTAGACACAGGAATGGGGGTTGACCTCAGTTTACCTAGTAGCAGTAAACAGAGCCCTCAAGCTAAACCAGCGCGGGTTGTCCTGCTCCTGAACTCCAGCGACAGGGAATTAATATGGCTCCAGAGAGACCCAGGAGGCTGAATCCCCAGCAGGCCTTCCTGATTTGTAAGACAAAGGGCTAGTCTACACTAGAGTTGCTACATCGGTGCAGCTAACCAGAAAAGGGGGAGCTCCCGACCGCTGCCCACGCTGCCGGCGTCTGCACTGGTGGTGCCCATAGCACGCCAGCGACGTCTGACTCCCCTGCTGACGCTACAGCCTCACAGATCGCCGCTGGTTGGAGCCCTCTGCCGCCTCATCACCAACCCCCCAGCGAGGCTGGGACCCTACAATGGCAGCAGCCTGCTCTGGCTGCTCCAGCCCCCACACAGCCGGCCCCATGGCAAAGCCCCTCCCGGCCTCGCACCCGGGACTCAAGCTGACAGGACGGGGGGCTAGATGCTACCTCACAGGCAACACCCAGCCAGGTTACAGTTGATCAGAGAAACAGGCAACTTGCTGTGAGGGAGGGAGTTGGCACCGACACTGGCCAGGCCTGAGGATGGCGTCGCTGATCCAGGATTTCAGGGTAGATCTCCAAAGGAATCAACTTTCAGGCCAATAAGTGATCAGGAAAAAAGGGCTCCATGGGCCTGGAGAGGTGGCGGGGGGAGAGATCTTCTCTGCTAGAGAGGAGGGCAGGGACCTGAAGATGGTCTGGCTCTTACATTGCCTGAGGACAGAATTTCCTGCGTTTGTAACAAACCTGTCCGGACTGTGACTGCTCCTTTAACTCCATTTCGAAGAGTAGCGCTTCCTGAGGGCGGACAGGGGAGGGGATTTTTCTATCAGACGTTGGAAGCCGAGTGGAAGACAAGGTGACAGAGCCCGAAGGTAATAAATAAGGCCTTCCATGGCCCTGTCCACTGGCAGATCTCAAAGCATGTCACAAAGTTGGGTAAGCAGCATTACTACCCCCAAGTCACAGATGGGGAAACTGAGGCACGGAGTGGCCTGTGGCCTCAGTTTCAGATGGGCTGAGCACCCACAGCTACTATTGACTTCAGCTGACATTGGGGAGATCAGCACATCTGAAAATCAGTCCCTACGGCCCAGAGCCTCAAAGGTATTCAGCACACAATTCCCCGGGGATTCCAGGAACCCTTGGAGGAGCTGGTCTTAGGGATTTGCCCCAGGGCTCCTGAGGCCCAGTGCAGCAAGCCGTGCTGCCGCCCATGTCTGCAAACTGGGGGGCGCTGCGTGACTGTGGCAGGACCCGCAGGAGCCAACCAGGCCTGGCCCCAGGCTGGAGGTGCTGCAGAGGTGTGTCCTGGAGCAGCAAGACTGGCAGATCCAAGGGCTAACAGGAAACCTCCCACCTCAGCGTGAAACACAACACACACCCTGCCCCACACGCGGGCATCACAGCACCCTCGCAGCTAGCGCCATGGCCCGAGAGGAGCAGAATGCACAGAGGAAAGGGCCCCTGTCTGCCCGCGCTGCTTCCCCCTCACCAGTGCCTGAGAGCCTCACCTCAGCATGCCGGGGTGGGGATCGGCCAGCCCCGGGGGTAGTGGCCCCACACCCTCAGCCACTCGAAAAGCCGTGGGAGTGAGCCACGCTCTGGACGTGAGCTCCGGGGCCGAGTGGCGCGTGAGCACTGAGAGGCACCGCAGAGCGCAGAGGACGGGTCAGAGCGTCCTGAGCAGAGCAGGCAGGTGCACAAAGTGGGCAGAGGAGGAGGGTAGGCGAAGCCCAAACAACCAGGAATATCAAACGCTCCTTGACATGGACGGGAGGGCTGGGAACCACGGCCATGGGGCTAATAGCCTGGGGCTATTAATGGGGCGCTGAGGGAGGCATGACTGGGAATTAGAGACCATGAGCTAAATGCGCCCTTGGTATGGAACCAAGTGCGCCCAGGGGAGGGGGTTGGGACTCGAGGGAGATCGGAGGAGCCAGGCACCAGGTGTTCAGAGAGCACCCAAAGGACTGGGCGGTTCTGGGTAACGGTTGCCTGGCCCGGGCACTGGGAGAGCTGGCCGGGAGGGCAGCGCAGGAGTGCACAGCCTGGGGCAGCAGGGAAATGGCGCTTTAAGCCACCCTTGGGCCCTGGATGGGGGGCGGGGCGAGGGCCCAGCCGGCCGCTGATGTAACTGACAGGGCACGGAGCTGCTCTGACTCCCAGTACTCCTGCCTGGGCTGCCCATGGGCAGCTTCACGACCCGGAGCAGCCCAGAATGGCTGGAGCAGCGTATGCCAGGGCCCCTCCCCAGCCACTCTCTGCCCCAGGACCTGCGTCGGGTCCTGCATCCGGCTGCCTCTAGGAACAGCACATGGCGCTGGGCCGGCAGTCAGCTAAGGGGCTTTACGGCCACAGTACAGCTCAGGGGCCTAGAGGGGCGCCAGTGGGGGAAATCCCTAGCGTTTAAGCCTGCGGCTGTCACTGCCTTGCTCTGTATCCTTGGCCAGCTCCCTTATCTTCTCTGCGCCTCTGTTTCACCATCTGTCCCGGGAGGCTATTGAGACTGGCCCACCCTTGTGAAGCTCCTGGAGCTCTCGTTTTTGAAAGTCACTAGTTTAGTCTCTGAGTCGCACGCCCAGCACATGGGGGGCTGGACTGGCAAGCGCCTGGTTCCCGTTTGGACCCTCAAGCACCTTCCTCCTGCTGCCTGGTGCGTTGGGCTGCAGAGCCGCGGCCAGCCCGTGCTGGGGCTGGAGCTCGACTCTGCAATGCCCCGGGGAGACTTTGCCAGCTCTCTTCTTACGTTCGTCACCCGAATTCCCTAGCAGCTGGCACTGGCCTGGCTGCAGAGCGGAGCTGCCCTGCACTGCCTCCTTCAGTCAGCTTTGTGGGACAGCAAGGTCCTGCCCAGCCGCATTCAAACCTCCCTGGGAGCCTGGTGCAGATCCCGGGACAACTCACCTGAGCTGGGAGTGCAGCTTAGTTGCCTTGGAGTTGAAATCTTCCCAGATGGGGTAGGAGCTCTGAAACAAGAGAAAGCAGAGAGCAATGAACCATCAGCGAGCTCTCAGATCACGGGATGCGTCCAGCGTCTCTCACACTGTTCCTCAGGGACGTCCCATACAACCCCAGGCACTTTTAAATGCACAGCTTCCTCCTGGGAAGGGAGGGGCCTCCCCCAGCCAGCCTGGCCCCGACGCGGCCTGCTCCTCGCTCACACACCAGCCTAGCCATGCAGAGTGATACGAGAGAGACGCTCGTCTGGCCCCCAGCCCCATAGGAGCAGAGCTGCTCACCCACCCCTGGGAGCAGGGCAGGGCAGGGCTGTTCCCTCATGGGAACCGAGGCACAGAGAGACCGAGTGACTTGCCCCTGGTCACACGGGAAATCTGTGGCAGTGCAAGGAACTGAAGTCAGGCCTCACAAGGCCAAGGCTCTTGCCCTGACCACTAGCACCCCCTCAGGGCAGAGAGCTGACCTCCCATCAGGTATGTGGCTCACAGGATTCGTTCCCAAGAGGCCCCCCAGGCTGCCCTCTCGTTAGCCAGACAACAAGCTAGATTTGTGGTGGAGACTGGAATCTAGGGCTGTTTCCCTTCCCCACCCCCGTTCAGAAACCCAGGGTCTCCACTGTGCAGTGGAACCCCCCTATCACTGGTGGTCCTGTCACCCCAGAACCATCCCACTGCACTCCATGGAGTTACCCCCAGGGGGAGATTTACCCCAGAACTGGATTTCACAAAGAGCCCCGGCTCCTGGGTGCTGCAGAGCGAATACAAGCTCAGGATTTCTGCGCCGCCCCCTGAGGCCAGAGAACCCAACAGACCATAGAGGAGAGCGCAGGGGCTGTTTGATGGTAGCCAAGGGCAGGGATGCAGGAGACAGGGCCTGAGACTGGAATGAGCCATGAATTTCCACTCAGGAAGGGTCGATCGCTCCATCTCAGGGTTTGCTTTGTCACACTCACAGCAGAAATTCAATCAGCCTCTGCCTCTCCCCCGCCCCAGCGAGCCGCCAGCCTGGGGTGAAAGCGGACAGCGGGAGCAGTGAGTTACAAGTGGGGAATCCCAGACCTCCTAAGAGCAAAGCCCCCTCCTCTGGCTGCAGCTGGCCCGTGTGGGGCGGGTCTTGGAGTGCAGGGAGCCCAGAGGGGCTGGGTGTTTTAAAACAACTCACACAAGCAGAGGCACTTAGCGCAGAACAAACCTGCACTGGCTGATTAACGCTGCAGTCAGATTACAGCGCACTAAGCACAGGTAGAGCAGGGGGGAAACATCTCCCCGGCCCACTAACATTTTCCCCATCATGAATCAGCAGGAAAAGACGCAACAGAGGGTCCTGTGGCACCTTTAAGACTAACAGAAGTATTGGGAGCATAAGCTTTCGTTATGCTCCCAATACTTCTGCTAGTCTTAAAGGTGCCACAGGACCCTCAGTTGCTTTTTACAGATTCAGACTAACACGGCTACCCCTCTGATACAGGAAAAGGCGAAATCTCAAACATTTTTGGAAACTGAAAATCCCCACCACCACCACTCCCCCTGGCCTCACACAAAAGATATTTTTAATTTGGGTCAACTGAAACATTTTGCTTCAGTTATGACTATTTTAAAAAGCGATTTTTACTCCCATTCACTTATGTTTTGACATGAAAAGTCATTGTGAACTGGAAACCAGTTCTGAATGGGTCCAAAGGAAACTTGGTTCCAAGTTGAGAGCTTTGGCCAAACCGACCCTTTCCCACAAAACGGTTTACTGTCTATGTGACGTTCCCCTGGTGTTATCCGGACTGGTGATCTGCTAGGTCACCCCAATGCTTGACTCAGGGAGACAGCCTTACCCTGCTCTGCTGTGAGAACCCCACTCCTGGGCTGTTCACGCACAGCCTCTGGCATGTAAGCTGCTCCTTTGATCGTGCAACCAAATGACACTAGCCAATATCTCCGGTCCCAGACACAACCCTAGGAACCTCCGTCTTGCAGTATCCAGTTATGCCCGCTGGATGCTGCAAGCTTATATGAGTTCATCAATTTAACACAGAAATTGATAGGTACCAGGATTGCTATCCCAAGGGGAGTTTCTGACACACTTCAAACCAAACACACTGCTTCAGGTAGAATAAACAAACTAACTTATAATCACTTAAAATCTATCTTTGTAGTTAATAAGTCAAAGCACAATAAGTCAGATTTGCTCAAATGAAATAAAAGCAAAACGCATTCTAAACTGATTGTAACACTTTCAGAGCCCTTACAAACTTAGATGCTTCTCACCACAGGCTGGCTGGTTGCCCTTCAGCCAGGCTCTCCCCTTTGATCAGCGCTTCAGTCGCTTGGTGGTGGTGTCTGTAGATGGAGGTGGAAGAGAGAGGAAGAGCATGGCAAACGTCTCGCCCTTTTATCATGTTCTTTCCTCCCTCTTGGCTTTCCCCACTCCCCCGGGTCAGGTGAGCATTACCTCATCGCAGTCCCAAACTGACCAAGGGAAGGGGGGTGACTCACTCGAGAGTCCAACAGATCCTTTGTTGCTGCCTAGGCCAGTATCCTTTGTTCCTGTGAGGCTGGGCTGGGTTTGTCCCATACATGCCCTGATGAAGTGTGAACTGCCCCTCTGCTCCTGGAGAGTTTTGCCTGGTTTTGTTTTAAGCCATGAGGACACATTTTCAGCCTCATAACTACATACATGAAATTACAACCTATAACATCACTATAACAACAATGCTCAGTGCATCATGAGCCTTCCGAAGACACCCAACATGACAAACTTTGCATTGGATGCCACTCAATCATTTTACAAGGATGAACATGGGGGTGCAGGATGTTCCTCCGAGGTACAGAGCGTCACAGTTTAAAAACGGGTGTTCTCAATGAAATGGAATTTTTGTTGAACACTTTCCCAGGCTCACAATCCATGGGATCGCACTGCCTCTCCCGTGCTGAGCATGCACAGCTCCCATTGCAATCATCGGACACTGCGGGGGCTCCGTTCCTCTGAGAGCCAGGCCAGACCAGACACCACAGGGAGAGGCTGGGACAGCGAACGGCTCAGGTGCTGGAATGGGCTATGGAGCCTTTTGTCTCTAGGTCACCGAGTCCAACCTGGCCCACGTCAATTCCAATGGGCCGGCTCTCTCCTGGCCTATCACCTCTGTGCCTGGAGCCTGTCTGTTGGGATGTCCCGATTCCCTGCTTGGGACCGGTAATGCAAACCATTCTAGCTGGCCCAGTCCCGGCCAATCTCCAGCTTCCGCAGTCAGGAACGAGGGGTGGGTGTGTTCCCAGAAGGCCTGATCCTGGGGCCCCATGGGGCTCCTCCTGCAGAAGAATGCCTCAGCATGAGCCGTGGATCAGAGCGTGGCCGAGAACATAAGCAAGGAGCAGACCTGGCACCAGGCCAGCAGGGGCAGCTCCTGGGAACAGGCCAGGGCGCAAGGAGAGACTGTGCTTATCCCTTGGCCCCAGGCACATGACCCAGGTAAGGGTTACAGCCACGGATGGACACAACGAAAAGCCCAAGGAAGACTGGGGTGATGGGAGGCTCGTTTCCTTGCCTTCAACTCAGCCGCTCAGCAGTTCCAGCCTGAGCCATAGACAGCAACACGCCGTGCACCGCGGGCAGGTCAGCATGGGACAGAGGTGCTTTCGGCTCTGCGTGAGGGTGACCAGGTGTCCGCTTTGGGGCTGGACCGCCCGGTTGAAAAGGAATCCTGACGGCTCGGTCAACACCGCTGGCTGGGCTGTTGAATGTCTGGATCGCGGTGCCACAGCAGGGGAGGCAAACTGCCTGCTAGCGCCACACCATGGCCCGTGCAGCTCCCAGGTCCGGAAGCAGCTGGCACGTCTGGCTCCTAGCCATAGGGCCTGCCGGGGGGGTCGGCGCAGCTCCCAGTGGCTGGGGAGGAACTAGCAGGCGGCTGTTGAGGGGTTGTGTGGAGCACGCTTCTCCCGCTGCTGCCCGGCCTCTTCTCATGTGGCTGGGCTCGAGCTGCGGCATGTGCCCTGCTGCGAACCGCAGTCTGTCACCCCATCGCCAGCACCCAGGAGTTGGAGACAGAGATACACGGACCTCCGAGTGCTGGGAATGCAGCTGCACCCCCCATCCCCCTCACTGCATCCCTCTCCACCCCAACCCCCCCATGCCCCATCCTCCTCACTGCATCCCTCCCCATCCCAACCTCCCCACCCCCCCCCCCTCCCCCCTACCTCCCCCCCCTCCCCCCCCCCCCCCCCCCCCC